GGGGGGGGGGGGTTCGTTTCAGAATGGTCTCCGACCTTTCGACATTTTTTTCCCTCATTTTTCGCTTTATTGGTACCATCGTTCCTCTCTCCCCCTCTCTCTCTCTCTCTCTCTTTCTCCTCTCCTCCCTTTCCTCGTACAACGATTGTCACAATGGAGACTTCGGCCGCAAGATGTGGCGCAAGATGTGGCGCAAGATGCGGGTGACTCGCGCGTCACCGGCTAAATCCCGACCGACGCTGCTCGATTTCGAACGAGCTCGACGTCTCGACGCTTTACCGACGACGCATCCTGTATCGCACCTCCGAACCACAGGTAACCCTCTCTCTCTCTCTCTCTCTCTCTCTCTCTCTCTCGCAGCGGTACTGTATGTCAATATCGAGTGTAATATTCCGTCGACATTCGCCGTCACCGCGCACAAGCCGGCGGATAACGGTAAAACGCGCAGCTTTCGTTATTGTCACGCGTATATTTCGTTTAAACTATACATTACCTTACTTCGTAAACAATATACAGGAAAGGAAAAGAGCTTTTACTTGCATCCGACGAACTACGCGCGCATACACGCGCCGACATCCGTCTCGCGTTTAAATAAACTTAACAACACCGGCGTTATTAAAGCGACTGAAACTGCGGGAGGGGGTGAAGGGAAAACACCGATGCCAAAGGCGAGCGACTCGCGACGCATTCCTCTCTGTTTTCGGTGTTCTCGAACAGCACACGCGACGTTTCCCCACCGTACGAATCATCATTCCCGGGCCGCTCTTGGAACAGCTCGCACTCGAGCGCTCGCCGAGCGCGAGAAGAGCGGAAAAATCGCGCGCTGCAACGCTCCGATTCGCTCCCTTTTCGCTCTTCGTAGAACGGTAGAGCGTTCAACGTTCGCTCTGTGAGAAGTTGTATTTACAGGTACAATCGCACGGCCCATCGTCGACTGTACCATCGGTGCTGCACGAATTTTACAGTATTCTTATCCCACGAAATGAACATTCGGAGATTCGAACCCAGCTCGTTATTCATCGCCCGCCTATCGAACGGTGAGTTCCACCCGTACAACGCAATAATCCCAAAATCGGGACACAATAAGACACCTTTAAGACGTCTTAAAGACGTCCCATGCACCGATTTCGGACATTGCGCGCTGTCTGGCTCGCGCCGAATAACGCGTGATACGATCGGTAAGACGCGATATGCACCGTAATTATTAGAACTCCCGGTCGGTTCGGTAGCTTCCTCTACCTTCGAGGACAAACGAGCCCTCGGCTGTTCGAATCTCATTTGTGAGAGAGCATGCAAAAAAATGTAACGACCCGTGTCGCTCGAATCATCAAGCTCGTTAAACTCCGACGAGGCACAAACAGGCTTTGAAGTCAGTTTCGTCTCGAGGGGAATGTAGGGGGGAGGGGGAGAGGGTGTTTACCGCGATTACATCACATCGAAACGAACCTATCCGTCGATGTTCCTTAATCAAACGGGGATGGCTCTCGCCATTTCGCCACTACGTCGCTGTATCTCGACCGGCCACGTCGCAGATCAAAAGATTCGCCATCACTTTTGTATCCTCACATATCCGTCGTGCTTTTGTAATACGGGCGGTGTTTTCCTCGTGAATCTCAGTAGCAACGTCAGTAGCGGAACTAGAGAATTTTTGCGCGTACAATTAAACGAGACGATTGAAAGAGACGAACACGTCCCCTCTTCCGGTGTATTAATATTGAATAACAGAGCGATAACGTGATGCAGTTGATCCGAGGTGGAAACTTAATTTCTACCGCCCACGCCTTAGAGTATCGCGCCTGGGGTTCGAGTTCCGATACCGAGCGAGCTGCTTTTTAACTCCCGGCGATGGCGTCTCAGACTCCGCGTCGTAGAGGAAATTCCCGGGTGTCTCTCGGGCGAGCTAGCGGCTCGTCCGAATCTCGATTACCGCTTATCGACGTGCTTCGAAGGTCCTGCCGATTTCCTTGGCATAAATACGGAGACGGTGCGACGCGCAGGCACCATCCATCACCGAGATAATTAACGTGTATTTTGAAACGTACTGCACCACGAATGCACCACGAGCGGTGAGGGAAATGATGAATACGACGCTTGTAATCGGATCCGTTTTCGTCCGGCGGACGAAACGGTCGATACGAATTTCGGCGAAACGATCGCGTGGGGAGCGCGGTTCGTCGAATATCGATTCGCCTCGACGGTATTCTTCTTTCGTGAAACACCGGCTGCGTGTCGAAAATCCACTCCGTCGGTACTCGAGATCTATAGTTAGCATACACGTAACACGAAGTATAGATTTTCAATACCGAGGAAGTGTGAATTTCGGCACGCAAACGCCATTGCCGCAAGTATGTCTCGCCTCGATCTCCGAGCTCGAGACTCAATGACGCGTAATCCTTTTTCCAATCGATTCCCGTTCGAAATCCCTTCCCCGAAACTTGTAATCGTACAGAGCGCGTTCAACGGAGAACTCTTCTAAACCATAACACCGCGCTGCGCCAGCAACTGCTTCCTTTGATGGAGGCTCGGCGACTCCACGGTGACCTCGTCGTTCTTCACGCTGTCGAACGACTTGGAGGTCTTGAAGTTATTCAGAACGTTCATACAGCTCTTGCTCGTCATCTCCAGGGATTTCGAGCTCCTCAGGGTCGCGGTGGCGAGCTTCTTGATCGTCTCCGAGATCGGGTACTTGAAGTCCGCCCTCTCCCTCTCCCTCTCCTTTATCCTTTGATTATCGTCGACCACCAGCATGGGGTCCTTCCTGTCCGGTAGCTTCTGAGACTGCTCCTCCTCCTGTTTGCCCGCCGGATCCTCGTGGTGTTTCACCCTCGGGCCCTCGTCGTTCCCGGGCTTCGCGTTTCTACACTTCGCCGTCGGATTGTCCGTCGATTGAACGCTCTTGAACGGCTCCGCCAATCGCTCGCTCTCCTCCTCCTCCTTCCTCTCGTCCTGACCGAGTAAAGACTTTGGTGGCGCCTCGACGTAGCCGCTCTCGTCGCTGTCGGCCTCCTCCTCGTCGAGGGAGTCCAGCGTGAGGAACGACGTCTCGTCGTTCGAGAGGAACTCGTGGCCCATCATCCTGCCGGGGTACTTCTCGTTCGCCCGCCTCTCCGTGCCCGGCGGCTCCTCGATTCTGCTCATCGTCACCTCGCCCCTCGGCCGATAATCCACCACGTCGTCCAGGTCCTCGACGTCCTCGAAGTCGAACACATTCGACGTGCTGTCCTCCATCATCATCTCCTCCTCTTCTTCCTCCATCGACTCCTCCTCCTCGCTCCTCAGGGTGGGAAACCTCTTCCTGGGGTCCATGGAGTTGAAACGCGGGCTACCGGCGCACGTCATGAAGTGAGGCGAGCCCTCCGAGTTCCTTCGCGGGCCCGGCCCTCTGCCGAGGACTCGCTCCTCCGCGAAGATCACCCTCTTCACGGATCCTTGCTGATTGTCCGCTTGATCTGCAATGAGACACGTCGCGGGGTTTAAAGGCGAGTTTCTCGCGGTTTTTCACACACTGCCCGCCCCGGCCGTGTCACGCATCAGTTGCCACGACTCCCGCCGGGCAACTGCCCTTTCGCGGGCATAATCGTGCGCGTAAAACGTCGAGAGCCCCGGCCCCTTGAAAAGAGAACCGCGCGTGAGAAACTGTCCCCGACTGCCACACACGGCGATTTTTAATCCCGCGTTTCGTAGAAAACGGTCGACGTGCCGGAGGCACTTGAAAGAGAAGAAAAAAAGGAAAAATCAAATTGGTCACACACACATATACACTTGGCTGATCGTTCATCGGTTTATTCAGCGATATTAAGTAACTAAAGGCGCTCGGCTGGCTCAAAATCGCGTGGAAAAACTCAGGCTAGCGTGCTAAAGCCAAAGTAGATCGCACTCTCTTTCGTGGTCTAATTATATCGAGCGGCGTGTAAGCACCACCGTTGCATTTGCGCAACTTTTGCGCCGGCGATACCTCCGAGGCCGAATTTGAAAGGGTCTCTTTCCGTGTCTCACCACTTACGTGGTCTCCGAGCTGCTGGAGAAAAGAAATGAGAGAGGAAGGGTAATAATTCTCTTTCGCAGAGAATATTCTCGCTTGCTTCCGGCTCGCGATGACTCGATATAATTGGCTGCGGTGCGCCCTCCCCCTCCCTAAATATATTAATTAGTAATTATTAGGTGTACAAATTAATTCGGCAATGTCTCTCGGCTAACCCGACAGACGGAGCGAAGCGAAAGAAAATAAATGAAACGTTACGTCGAATATCAAACTTGCACTTGACTTTTTGTAAATGAGCTTCGGACTTCATGAAAGAAGAAAAAGGGCAACGAATTCATTTGTACACGTTATATTTGCGACGATGAAGTAACTGTTCACACTAACTCTGCGCGAGGTGCTCCTCCGGGCCGGAAGCTCTCTCCTCGCTCGTGGCGGTGCTGGCGGTCTCGCATCCGCTCGAGATACTGCCGTTCTCGTCGGAGGAGGACTCGCGATTCAAGGCGTCCAGGAGCCTGGCTATTCTCCAGCCGTCCTGCTCCTCCCAGCTGCGCGCTACGTTCTCCAACGAGCGTAGCTCCTCCAGCAGCCTCTGCTGCTCCATCTCTTCGGCCACCGTGTCCTCCTCGATCGCCGAAAGTTTCGGCGCGCTCTTCGACCTCTCCAACGGCGGCCGGTAGTTCTGGCCGCCGGTGCTCAGGAGGAGCTTCCTACGCGGCAACGACGGATTGTCGTACAACGCGTTCGCCAGAGACAACCTGTGACAATGCACGCAAATAATCAGCTGGTCTCGTCAACGTAAGACGTTGCATCGTATTTCGTATCTCCAACCGCGGATTCGCCGATAAATTCAGAACTGTCTGTCTCGTCCGCCAAAATTCAAAGAAACACGACGGTTAGTTGTTATCATTTTACGCACTTTTTTCTATAGTAATTTATCTTCTTCTCTTATTATCTTGTCATCTCCTTCTTCTTTATCTTATTATCTTCTATTATTATAATCTATCTTTATTATCTTCTATAGTAATCTCATTTTCCCCATTTGAGCAGTATTTTGCTTATTTATGTTGGGTTAAAGTTCAAAAAGTCGCGATAACTCAATAAGAATCTCTAAGAATCATTTATTTCTTATTCAGAACTATTTTCATCTCCTTTTGCGACGTTTTAATACTATAATCTTACTGTCTAAATTCCCTCCCAAATTAGTGAGCTTTAGATTAGAATGACAGACGTTTTCATTCGCTTGGAATGAGTTCCCATTTATTTGGAGTAAGAATTCACTCCAAGTGAGTGAAAATACCGCCCGCTCTGACCTGAAGTTCACCCCCCGAACATTTAGAGAACACTATTCGAATTTCCAATCCATGCCCCTTTCATCGCGTAATCAAATTATTCCGTCTATCCGTTTGTCAAACCGTACCGATCGTTCCCTGCCCCCCCCCCCCCC